TTAGTAGTTACTGCACAGTAAATTGGGTTTATCTTGTATTCCTAAAGCTGGAAGCCTCTATAAATAGGCTCTCTTTTAGTAATGAAAGGCAGATTGTTACTCTTCAAAAAACTATTGTGCACGTGTGCATCAAGTTGGTATCAGAGCAATCGCCTGGGTGAACGATGGCAGCCACCGATAGGCGCCGTGAAACTCTTGAAAATCCTACAAAGACTGGCACTTCATTCATATCTTATATTTTTTTAAAAAAATGTAGGATGAAAAAAAATCAAATAATGTTAATGCCATCCACTCTGCAGGCATATTTTTAAAATTACAAAAACATTCAAATGCATTGTTTGTGCATAATTTGGACCAAAGATCCCGGAACATATTTTCAGCATTTCTCAAAAAGTGTAGTGCAGGAAGAATTATATACCTTCGCAAAGTGAGCATGCATTAAGCATGCTTGTAAATAACTTGCTTTCCTCACAAGACGAAAGAAGGCAATGAAATTACTCGTCCTACAAGCTCTGGAGAAAAAATCAATTAAGGTATTAGATTGACTATAATGGCACAACAGGAGAATAAATTTTACAGGAAACAGACCACCTAGCTACATCACGGGCAAATTTGACTTCTGGAGTTTGTCGCATCTCGGGAGTCATCTTTGCAAGATCAAGTGAGAGCTCTGCAGGTTCAACCTGGCGAGAATTGGCTTATTTTGGCTTATTTCCACACCCCGCAACATAACAAAATCTATATGGTAGAATTTTCCTTTCCAACCATGTGACTTACTTTATATCCAGGATGTTTGTCCAGCTTGAGAAGTGCATAATAACCTCGAAATTCCTTTTCAGAGGGCACAATTATGCCTCTCTTTCTGTGATCATCATACATTTGAAACAATTCCACTGACGTTTTGTTCATTTGTTCAATATTAAGGTGCGCATCAAATCCCTCGGCAAAGCCTTCTCCTTTAGAGAATTCACATAATTCATGCATCGCGATTATGTGAAGACGAATCTGAGATCATGCAAATTAGCAAAACTTTTAGTCATAAGAATAACCAGATAGTCCAGAGTATGAATATCATTAACAATAAGCCTTAAATGTTCTAAGATAGATTTCTGTCCATTTGGCTATGGGAGTCGGTTGTATCCTACTTGATCCATAGTTCAAATTTTTTATATCATCCAATGACTAGGAGAGTCTGCGATTACAATCTGGTGAGGCGAATCAATATCAGACCACACCCAATATATATAGAGAGAGAGAGAGAGCTTGAAAACTACTTGAAAACAATTTTTAAAAAAATTTCTGAAAAATGTAAAATAGCATCATGTCATTGAATTGGCAAAAGGTTGTCATCATCTTACATAATTACTGGAAAAAGAAGAGAGAGAGAACGTCATAACTTCGTTACGTTAACATATTAACAAAATCAAACTTATGGTAAGCATTGAAACACCCTTTCGAGACGTTACAAATATAATATGCAAACTACGCTGATTTAAATTATAATTAACATAGAAATACACAAATAAAACTATAAATATTATATTCTTGACATTATTAATCAAAAGATTCGCTCAAGTCAAAGACTGGTTAGATTTGTTTGAGAGGCAATTTTTGCTGGAAGAAAGAGAGGGGAGTTCGCTGGAAGAAATGGAGGTAAGCTAAGTCACCTAATCTCCTGAGGTGCTGTTTCCTTACCATTGGAAACGGAGAATCGGATTTGGCTATTGTAGGTAAAGAAACTTAGTGCTAAATGCTAATTGTCATGAACATTTCCTCATGTATCCAACTAACTATGGAATCAAATTGTAATAAGTATCCACGGAAGAAAGATGGGAGGGTTTACTGAAGGAAGAACGAAAGCTATGGATGCCCCTGGTGAAACATCTCTTAACCGAGACCAAATTTTGCAAGTTTTGCTTAGTTAAAGTGGGCTTGGGAAACAGAACATGGTTTCAAAAAGACTCCTTATCATTTATGCAGAAGCAAAAGTTGAAAAGGTCGACAGTGGATGAGACGTGGGAAAGAGCAAAACTCATAAAGGATCACATTTCATTGATGTATGAAATATTACAAAAAAGGGAATGAAATCCATAGAGCCCAAAAATGGAGTTATAAGAAGATCATCCATTACTAATGTACGCAACCTTAATAATGTAGGATTCACACAATGTAGGCTTCTTTGAGCTCCGGCTGCTCTTGGACTTGCTAAATGGAGTTCGCCTATATAGGAAAGAATATTTTAAAACAAGAATTGGCTAGCAGAGGCATCCAAATTACTTTCTGTAAAATCCTTGGTCAATCAGAAGTGAATTTGACAATCTAAAGCAATACAGAAAGATAAAGGGCCTAAGAAAAGGAAGTTCTTTTCCTGGTCGGTCTTCTGTGAGCAGGTCAATATGGCAGAGAAATTGTTCAAGATATGCCTAAATTTACCTCTCCAACCTAATTATTGTTGTCTGCGCAGGAATTCAGAAGATAGCCAGGTTCATGATTATTTCAGTTCTCTTATAGTCGAAACTCATGGCTCTCATTATTTACTATAGATACAACGCCAACAACAATATGATTCATCTGTCAGAGGGGAACAGGTCTAAGGGCAAGGCAAACACCTTATAGAAGAATGCGGGTAAAATGATACTTTAAACTATTCGGTCAAAATTATATCTTATCCAACTATTCGGTCAAAAATGAGATTCTAGTTTTTCAGTGAAAAGAAAAATGAATAGGAAGACACTTGTAAGGTAACTTGGAAAAAATCCATTGTTCCTCCTCTGGGTGATCATTTCCAAGCTGTTTAATTACATTCTCTTTGTAATTTATTCCAAATGGGGTGCTTTTTTGTAAACCCCTAGTGGGACGCTATAGATTTTGCATACTATTTTTCTTCAAATCAATTAATAATGTCTGTTTTGTCGAAACAAAAAATTAATAATTTTTTTTTAATTTAGCATGGCTGTTGTGAGATAGAGAAAACAAAGAGCACACTACATTGAGAACATACCATTTGTTCCAGCATGGTAATGGCATCTTCATTAAAAAGATGTTGCATTCTCAAGTCCATGCGAATCGCCCGCATCCTATCCCATAAGAAGTTATATGTGCCTAAAAACTTTTCATCATAAGGTTGACTTAACAAATTGAGCAGATAATCAATTGTTTTCCGCAGAATTGGCATAGGCCTTATGAGATTAGCTTCCCGCTCAGCTGTCCTGTTGTACTGTAAAATAATTAAGGAATTTTGTCATCATCTTTACAAATCAAACTTAACTTCCCATGCAGCTGTTGTCAAATATGTTAATTGTAAAGAGAACTGAGAAAACTACCTTTTTAACTGCAAGCAATTTGCTAGAATGATTTCTATCCCCATCCAACCGCTCATAATGGTCAAGATCCCCTTTCCTTTCTCGTTCTGCCCTCTCTGACTCTATAACAGGAAGTAAAATGGTGCCCTATTTTCAGAATGATGATGAGAAAAGTAATGATAGCATTAAATCTTAGACTCTATGAGAAAGTGCTTTTCTCAATATGCAAATATAAAGGTACTTCTTTAAGATTCTAAAATGCTTAACAGATCAATCCTAGACCCACATCGGCACCTCCTTTCACATCACAAAAAGAACATCTATTCTTGAACTTCCCCACATCCCACATCGTGAAAAAGATTATTACGTAATGGTTTATTCTTCATGAGAAGATTGCAACAATATTATAATTTCAATTTACAAAGTGAAGTGATGCCACATTTAACGAGTGTTTTCAAGACGATCCCCAGTGATCTCCAACAGCAACAGACAAGGCAGGGGCACTAGGCGTGCCTAAGCCTAACACTGTATATGGCAAGCACCATCATGCTGCCTTGTGAGCATCTTTTTAATGCCTTTTGGCTTTGTGCCATAGTGAAGAAAGGTTATGTTATAGTGGGCACCAACGGAAATTCATCAAATACAAACTTAATTGTGCTTAATTATATATTTCATTTCATGCTATAATGTATTATTTCTTATTTTTACAATATACAACTATACCTTTTCTGTTACACTATGCACCTTACTTCACTATGATACTTTTTATCTGCCTCACAGCTTCATGCAAGCATGCCTTTTACTGAGTGTGTCTTGCGTTCCGAATATTGCATGAAGAAAGACAAAGTTCCAAGGAAATATATTCAATTCAAGTTTAAAAGCATTCTCACATCATCATATTAAGTAAAATACCTGGACACATATCTGGGCATAGCCCAACTATTATGCTTGATGATTCTAAGGCTTCATAATCAGGCATGTTCCCATCAGCCACATTCCCCGATAACTTCAGAGACTGATTTGACAAGTATTTGTTCGGATCTGCCATCGAGTGCTCGTTTTTATTTCCATTATCCCTTTCATCCATACTACCCAAATTGCTACGTGCAGCTTCGACTAATTCATCCTTAAACCGAACAAGTCTCTTTGCCTTAGCTAGCCTTTCTCTGACAAATGAAAATTTCTAACAGTATTACGAAATGAACTGAAAGTGGATAATGCAAGTAATCAAATACTGGGAGAAAGTTAAAATTTACCGTTCAGCATCATCACAAGTAGAATGAGAATTTCCACCAAAGACTAGATCTGATGATGGCAAAGGTGGCGACCTTGTTCTTTTGGGAACTAGGACGCTGTTGGGCTTAGTTGCTTCAGATTCAGAATAAACATTCTTCATGGAACCCCCAACTTCATGAGCATTTAATCTAGAAAACGACCGAGGAGGAGAGATAGAAGACCTGGCAAGGAACGACATATCATATGTATCTTTATGGAACCCACAACTTCATGAGCATTTCTTTCTTTTCCTTTTTTTCCATTCGCCTTAAAACATTAAATGCATCATTACCAAATATGCTTAATTTGAGAGCTTATTGTATTTTTTTTTTTGATATGAAACAAATATTTCATTGATGGAATGAAATATACAAAAGACCACAAGGGCAATTACAAGAAAGCTCTCCAACTTGTAATAAGTTCGTTAAGAGAGTAGTTGTTAAAGGGAGAATAAAAACATTTACACCAACCCAAGGCTAGAACCATAACTCTATCCAAAAAAATATTAAAAGGGAGGGTTTTATCGTTGAAAGTCTGCATATTGCATTTTGTTAATTCCTGTAGTTATTTTTTATTTTGTAATTTAACTAAGTTATTAGGTAAGCCAATAGATGTTTGCATATACATGATAAAAATCATCAAACTGATGATTTAATTGTAGTCTACGCATCTTAAATGCTAGATAGTTTCCATTTCTAAGAGTTTATGATTAATTAAATACTGAAATATTACAATAAAAAAGGTTTAGTAGTTCTTTGTGAATAAAGATATTTTCATTAACATAATGAAAAGTTGGATAAAAGAATGATACTCCCCCATTGGGGAAAGGATTAGTAATTACAAGACCAAGCAAATATCAAACAAACCAGTCGGCAGTTTCATTTGCAAATTACCTGGGCTTGAGATGGAAAATCTAGATTCCTGCTTACCTGCTCCAATTATTGGAGTATGCAGGGAGGAGTGATCAAAATTTAAAAGGCAGTTACGAAAACTGTTCAGAATATAGTTTTACGTTTCTAAAATTGTGATCGAATCACTTGTAAAATTTATTGTTGAGGCATAAATTGAAATCACTATTCACATATCTGTGATCTTAAAAAGAAATAGCAACTTCATTTATGGTGAAAAATAGGTCACTAAAAGAAACCAGCTTTTAAAAAACAATTATCCATACGTGTTTCTACATAAATTTTTTCTAAAAAAACAGAAAACTATTGTGAAAACAGTTCGCAAACAACCCCTTAAAATCTGTAATGTTCTCACAGTACACAAACATACCTTTGCAAATTACTCTGTGCATACCGAAGATCACTAGCAGATGGTTGCTCTGGTGACCTGTTTCCTTTTGGTGCTTGAACATTACCAAATCCAGTTAGAATATTTGTATCCTGATCATAAGATCGTTTAGAAGGGTATTGGTCTTGGTAGGAATGTGAGTTCACATGAATCCCTCGCATCTTTGGCTGATTGTCAAATGTATGGGAAGATGAAGCAGGCCTGCCAACAAAAAATAGCTCAACTAGAGGAAGGCAATAGTCCTTATATAAACTTCTTTCCGCAGGGAAGGAGGGGTGGTTTAAGGCCTGAAGCAAAATATAAATAATTCTATGATAAAATGCAATTCCAACCACAAGTCAATGCTTATTTCATCCTTTTTTCTTTTGACAGGAAACATAACTTCATTGAAGGGAACCAAAATTACAAAGGTAATAAGGAATCAACCAAGAGAGACGAGGGGTTACAACGAGGTTCCTGCCATTAGTTTTGATAAAAAAAAATGAATGGTTCAAATTTGGATGATTATTGCATTGAAACTCAAATAATGGATAGCGAGGTTGTAATTTTGTCATTATTATATATTTATGATGATTTTATTTACGGAAATTTTCCTTGTTGGATAATCAATTATACTAGTTGCAAGAATACTCTACAGCAGCATCAGTCACGACTGACCTATCATCATCTTGCATTGAATCCTTAAATCACAAGGCCAAATCATACAAGGAATAGAGGCTTCACAAATTAAACTTGAAGTGTGGCTTCGGAGTCACTTCAATGTCTATGATTACAATTATCTAAGTTCCAATATGCTTATGACGTGCCAAAAAAATCACAAAAATAAGTTCCTCTAGTTGGTTTTAATCAAAAGAGAATTCTAATTACAACAAATATGATGAAAAGAACCTGCACACGAACCATTGTATAATGTCCAGACTTCCCCTGGAAGCTTCCTTAAAAAAGATTCATAAATTTCTTTCATCCAAACCTTTTGAGCAATTTCTTTGATAGCACTCTCTCGTGGCACTTCTTCCTTTCCGCTAAACAAGATGGCTGAGAAGAAGTTGCTCAAGAGCCACAAGAGCTTTTTGTAGAAAGCAGCAAGCTACATTGATTATTAAACCTACAGGTGCAAAAACAACCATTCCTTGGAGGATGTCTTCTTTAGATCATATGAGTTATATTGAAACACCCCAATAGCATATTCCAGGAGAAAAAATTAATCTTCTTTGGGACTTTGAGTAGTCCAAACTATTAATATTCATGAGGTTCCATCTCAAAATCAATTGGCATTGAGAGGAGTAGCTCGTGTCTATTATAAACCTATGTAAGGTCCCTTCTTTTATCAATGTGGGATCCTTAACATGCCCCCTCAAGATCATGGCTCTTTTGGCTCATTGATCTTGGTCGGATCCCATTTTTGGACCGGTTGTTCGTTTCAGCGTTTTAGGCTCTGATACCATATTAATATTCATGAGGTTCTATCTCAAAACCAATTGGCAATGAGAGGAGTAGCTCATGTCTATTATAAACTATGTAAAGTCCCTTCTTTTATCAATGTGGGATCCTTAACACAAACCCTTCTGAAGAGCTTCTTATCTCAGAATGTGTCCTCCCAACCCATTATATTGGAAAAGGAAGAGTGAGAAAGAAAGAAAGGGAAAAAAATCTCTTCTCTCGCCATCTCATGATTCAACACTAATCAGTAATCACATTACCTCTCTCCCACCATCGACATGAATCACGCCACACTCCTCTCTCACCATTCACAAGAAGCACACACCCTCCCTCTTTTTTCTACCACAATCCATGCTCCTTCTCTCTTTTTTTCTTCTTTCTTCCAGCTTTGTCTCCCCTCCTCTCTTTCACTCAATTCCATCTCAATATTTATCTCTCACACACCTCCCCTCATCTTTGTCTCCCTCTCAATTCTCCATCAAGAATCATTCTCCCTTGCAACCATGCAGCAATTGACATGTCCTACCCTCCATGTCTCCCACTGATATCCATCAACCTTTTCCCCAACCTCACTCACTCTTAGTCTTGACTTTGGCTTAAACCGACCAACCAAATTGGAAATCAGTTGGTCGATACAAACCTTCAAAATAATCAATTTTGGACCGGCCAAAATCGAATGTTCTAGTCTTTGGTGCTAGTTTTGGCAACAAACATTGACCAACCAATATGTACTCCTTAGAAACCATGAAAAGTTGGTCGGGAGATTGTTCAGCTAATAATTATACAAAAGGAGAAGAAGATAAGTTAGTTTTACAAAGTTTTCCTTCAGATTGGCTCATTCGCTGTTTCCTCTTTGATTTTGTCATCATTCCAAATGGTTATTCCTCCTTCAGATACTTTTCCAGGTTGCTCTAAGGAAGATCTTTGAAAAACCATTTGAAAGAGCTATCTTATTTAAAGAGAGACCCTGGTTGAGTTGGTTGAAAGACCTCATTTTTACTTTTAGTAACCCACCTAGAGTGTTGAAATCATCTGTTAAGCACCAAAAGCCATCATACAGCCAAAAAAATATATATCATAAATATCAACTTGAAGTTCCTTTCATGGTAAGAAGTTGGGCCAGAGACTAGCTACATCCAGCAAACAGAAGAATCCTCCAATTTAACTTCCAATGACAGAGAGAAGGCCCCACACACAACTTCTAAAATGGTGAAAGAGAGAACATTCCACAAGGCAATAATCCCTTCTCTATTGAGCCAATAGAAGGAGTAAAAGACCAACCAACATTTCAAGAGCTCCAAGTAGATTTGACAACTTTCCTATCTGCTTCTTGAAATTTATATTCCTAGACAAAGTCATGATCAATGCTCAAAATAATATCTTTCATCGACCTTCTCTTCTTTTCTAGCCCCATGTCCCCTAATATTCCAATGAAGCATCTTCATGGAACACTTGATTGCCCATGCAACGTATAAAAACATCTAGCTTGCCTTGAAATAAAAGATTTTATATAGAATTTTTAACAAATGATTATCTTCTAGGTAATTCCACATTGAAAAAGTAATAACAAGTACGTGACGAGGATAACTTGCCTTTTGGAAAAAGAAAAAAAAGGTCTCCAACTATTGATTTATCCTGGAACATTGCAGCTTCCTATGTGTTAAATGTGTTATTTTGCACAATTAAAGCCACAAAAGTTATGCAAATGCATTCATCCAGCAATGAGTGAAATAAATGCAATACAGTAACTGACCAAAGCACTGGAATGGTCTTAGTTTGACCAGTGGCAGTCTGAAATGACGTTAGATTAGAGGATTTTAACGATATTTGACATGATATTTCCAAATTCTACATGAATGAATATAGCAGAGAAAAGGTAGCAGTTAATTGAAGAATTTACTTCTAATATTTACAATAGGTTAAAAAATCCTGAGTATAGTCATATTTAGCAAAGCGCATAGGCAAACCAAATTTACTAACAAGCACAACCAGATGGCTCATGATCACAAAAGGAAAAACAAGTACTAGTAGCTTAGCCATGGATCCCAAGGGTAAGATCAAAATATCAATAAAATTAGATTGTTAAGAAATTTGAAAACCATTGAATATTCAAGGAATTAAAAAATAAAATATTCCAGAAAGGTATAGGCTTTTCTAAACCGAGATGTAAGATTGAACCATAACATCAATCAAGAAGTTCAAGTGAAGTACAAACCAAAGTTACTTCAGTCATAAAGATTCATGTTGTGGAATAGTGAAAATGAAAGCCAATTTCACAAATACCTTCTAATGACAGGGTGACCGGCAATTTTTGATAATTTTTCATCTCCAGGCATGTAAGTAGGTGACCTGCTTCTTTTTGTAAGGAGGTGGGCAACCTCACCTACAGCATGATCTGACGTTTGGGGTGAGGCAACAGATGTAATTCCACGACTTGGATGACTTTGGGCATCAACAGCTTTGAAGGAAGAATGTTGCTCTTCAACTGACCTTGTAGGAAACAAAATAGGCCTGGAGAAACATTAATAAGATGATGTGATGTGATGTGATAATAATTTATCAAACAGACATGGCCTGAGTCTTACATGTATTGTTTTATATATAAAAGAGAGTATTCCAATCAAGATTGATCATGAAAAGACCTATTACAAAAGAATTTTGTGATTGAAGCTCCTAGCTCCACTAGTATGAAGTCAATTGTGCACCGAAAGGAATCTAAAGGATGACTTATTATCTTCAAAAGCCTTTTGATTTCTCTTTCTTTAGAAGAAACTATTTCATTAATGCAATGAAATTAAGATTACAAAAATGGAGCAACCAATCCATAGGAGTTACTAAAAAGCTTTCCAATTGGATAACAAAGAAGCAAAACTATAGTGATGAAAAATAAGAGAACATTTACACCAAAATACAACCATGGAAATTATAGACTAAAAATCTGGTGGCCAGATTATTCTTTGTCTTGAAAGATCTTACAAGTCCTCTCCATCCAAATAAACCAAAGCAAAGCACGAACAAAATGGATCCAAAAGATTTCCTTCATTAGTAAGTCTTTTTATTTCTCTCTTTCCAACGAAACCCAAGAAGAGCTCTGGACAATGCAATTTCATAAAACTCCATCTTTTCCTTTAATCCACCAACCCATGATGGTTTCAAAAATCCAGTCACCAACGCATGCAAGTAAACATAAAAAGATACCAAGCGAATTCAAGATGAAGGATCACCCCTCAAAACAAAATAACACCAAAGGAAGAGACAATCCAAGGATTTACCTTTTTTTTCTATTGAAACCATGCTCTCATTGAGGAAAATGAAAAAATACAAAAGGGGCTTACAAAAACCACGTCCCAAAAAAAGGCAGCCAAAGCAACCACTAAAGACTCAACAAGATAAAAAAATAGCTCCAAATCAAAAGAATAATACCAAGAGGATAATTATAAAATCCTTAAAAACAAATGTCCAAAGAGAAACATTAATTTGGCAAAAGCCCACACCTCTACCCATGGCCTCTCTAATTCTCTGAAAATTCTCTCATTCCACTTTAGCCAAAAAGTAGCATGGCAGAGAATATGCCCCTTTTCCTGAAAGGGCTGGTGGAATAAAACTTCCCCATCATATGACGAAAATTGTTGTTTCGAGCCATGCATACACCACACGTCTCCAAGAAGGAGTTCCAGATTGAGAGAGCAAGTTCGCATTTTCAAAAGATATGACCCAAATTCTCGTGTATCCCTACAAAGAATGCACTACTATAGCCCCAACAAAGAAGGGAGAGTGTCTTTGAATACAATCCATAATGTTGACTCTCCCATGTAAGACCTGTCATGCAAAAGATTTAACCTTCTTGGAAACTTTTACCTTCCACAACGAGAAGAATAAAAGGTCTCTAGTTGTATGGTGGTTGCAAAGAGAACGAAAGAACAACGACAAAACCCTTTAGAGGGATTTGGAGACCAAAATGAATATCTCTAATACTTGAGCGAAAATCGACATCTCCTAAGAGAAAAGGAGCAGAAACACATCCAAGCCTCCCTATCCAAAAGAGGCAATGAAAATTGAAACTAAACGAATAATAATTGTCCAAGTACGAGATGACTGACCCCACGGGGCATAATCTCAAATGGGAAAGGTGGTATAATCTAGGGAACAAAATACTGAGGGGACTATCACCCAGCCACCAATATTTCCAAAAATAAGTGTTTAAGCTATCCCTAACAGAGCATTTAACGAAGTTAGAAACGAAACAAACACCCCAAGGATGTTTTCGT